AGGGGGTGGAGGGTGGGAAGAGATTAACCAAAGAAGTTATATGCATAACCCATGGACACAGTTAATAACAGGGTGAAGGCCTGAGGAGGGGGTGGGAGGGAAGTGGAGGGGATCAATTGGGGGGAAAAATGGGATACCTGTAATACTCTCAACAATAAAGATAAATTTAAAAAGTAAAAAAAAAAGAAAAAAACAACAACAAAAACACACACCTACCTTTTGTTTTCATTAATGTTCCTTATTGTTTTCCTATTTTCAATTTCATTGATTTCTGTCCTTATGTTTATTACTTCCTTCCTTCTGCTTTTTTGGGGTTTACTTTGCTCTTTTTCTAGCTTCTTGAGGTGGGGAGCTTAGATTATTGATTTAGGACCTTAATTCTTTTCTAATATAGACATTTAAATTTATAAAGTTCCCTTTCAACACTGCTTTATCTGTGTCTCAGAAATTTCAACATGTTGTATTTTCATTTAAATTAATTTTTAATGTCCTTTGAGACTTCCTCTTTCACCCACATATTATATAGAAATGCATTGTTTTATTCCCAAGTGTTTGGAGACTTTCCTTTTATCCTTTTGTTATTGGTTTCTAGTTCAGTGCTATTATAATCAAAGAACATATGCTTTATGATTTCAATTGTTGAGGTTTGTTTTATGACTCTGAATATGGTATGTCTTAGAGAATGTGGCATGGGTACTTGAAGAGAATGTGTATTCTATTAGTGTTTGGCTAGCGTAGGGTGGATATGTTCAGTTAGGCCATACTTTTCTTGGTCCTTTGATTAAAGGGCGTAGGCTTTTCTTAGAGCTTTTTTGTCTGTGCCTGTTGACAGTTTTGAGTTACAGGCTTCTCTAGTGCCTTGTTTGTGATATATAGGAGGGGAAATTAAATCCAGGGAACTGACCACTGTGCTGTTCCCCAGGTCCGGAGGTCTGTGGGCTGCCTCCCTTTCTAACTTTCAGTCTTTGTATTTGTTGTGCTATGCCATTTTTGTTCTGATCTCGTCTACATTCATTGTTCTCTTCTATGTTTCTTCCTCTATTAATTTTGCTAACTTACATTTTGCTGGGGAAACATCTGTTTCACATCAATATTAAAGTATGTTGCTGAACAGTTATACATAATATCCCACAGTAACTACTTTGAACCATTGCCCAATCTGGGAAAGATTTTTCTTCTCTCATTATAAATATATAATATTTAAGCTCTTCTCCTTTATCTGATTTGCTAGGGAGTTAAATCTGGTCATCTCAAGGATCCAACTCTTTGCTTAACTCCCTATTGTATTTATTTGATTTATTTATGATTTCATTTTTATTAAGTACTACTTTCTTTTTTGGGTGATTTGATTAATTTTGTTTTTTCTACTTCTAATGTTTTAGGTTGAACACATAGCTCTTTTTTGTTATATTTTTTATTAAAAATAAAGCCATTTAAAGCTGTAAATTTTACTCTATATATAACTTTAGTGTGTTTCATGACTTCTGGTAAAAATTGTATAGCTTCTGTATTGATTTCCCACTTTGGTCCTGGGTTATTTAAAAAAGTGTTTCTTTTCTTTTAAAACAGACTTATTTAGGTATATAAAACAAATTTACATAGGTATATTCTAGTACCATAACATTTACCCATTTAAAATACAGGATTCAATAGTCTTAAGTACATTCACAGAATTGTGCAGTCATCAATCACCAAAATCTAATTTTAGAACATTTCAGCCTTATACACAATAGCAGACATTCACCATTCGTGCCACGCCCACACTCCCATCCCTAGGAAACCTCTAGCTAATTTTCTGTCTCTATGTGTTTGCCCATTTTAGACATTTCACATAAATGGAATCATATAATATGTGATCTTCTGTGATGGGCATCTTTCATGTAAAATAACAATTTCAAGGATCATTCATGTTGTAGCACGTGTCAGTACTTTTTATTGCCAAATAATATTTTATTGTATGGATATGCCACATTTGTTTATCCATTCATCAGTTGATGGACATTTAGGTGGTTTCCATTTTTTACTATTATGAATAAAACTACTGTGAATATTTGTGTACAAGTTTTGGAGTAGACATGTGTTTTCATTTTTCTTGGGTAGATACCTAGGAGTGGAACTGCTGGATCATATGGTGACTTTGTGGGTAACATTTTGCCAAACTGTTTTTCAGAATGGCTGCATTATTTTACAGTTCTTCCAGAAATGTACGAGAGCTCCAGTTATTCATGCCTTACCAACACTTGTTATTGTGGGGGTTTTTTCTTATTTTAGCTATCTTAATGGATATGAAATGGTCTAATAAATGGAAAATTTTGGTTTTGATTTGCATTTCCCTAATGACTAATGACATTGAACACCTTATACTATGATCAGAGAATGTAGCCTGTCAATTCCCAAGATTAAAACATCTACCAGATTTTCTTTGTGGACAAGTTACTTGATGGAATTTTGTAAAAGTGCCATGGGCAAAAGAAAAGGAAGCATATTCTCTCTTTCTTTGGTACATCATCTTTATGTGTTTAAAATTTAACTTTTCATGCCTTTTATTTTATTTTACTTCTTATTTAACTTTCTTGTTTTCTCTTCATCTCATCTCTTACTTTTGTTGTCTTAATTCCTCTTCATTTTACGAGGATATTTTCCCTTCCCTTTCCTAAAAAGAATAACTAAATCTGTAGTGCCTCTATTGGTTGATCAGCATAAAATTGTACCTCAACTTGGACACAGAGACACCCTCTCCTCCCTCAATAGGAGAAACCGTTGTGCCTTTGAATATTTTTGAGGTAAACAGTCTTAGTCCCAGTCTATTAGTATTTTCCTTATGACCTGTCTCTTCTATTTTAAGAAACTTAATGTTTTTATTCCAAATCACAGTAATGCTTTCAACATCTAGTAAACAGAACCACGTTTATTTTGAACCTACCACATAACAGGTACCATGTGGTACAGTATTGAAAACGTGAACTCTGAAGCCAGGTAGACTGGGTTTTACTTAACATCATTAAACTTCTGCTTCTTTATGCATAAAATGAAATAATAATTGCAGCAACACATAGATGACAGGATTGTTGTGCAAATTAAATGAGATACCTGCTTTTGCATGTTACATGATTCCTCTTAATAACAATACTTGCTAATATGAATTAAAAGTTTACTTGGTTGCCCGGCCGGGCGTGGCTCAGCGGTTGAGCGTGGGCCTAGGATCTAGGAGATTGCAGTTCGATTCCCGGCCAGGGCACATGCTGGTTGTGGGCTCAGTCTCCAGTCGGGGGAGTGCAGAAGGCAGCCAATCAGTGACTCTCATTATTGATGTTTCTATCTCTCTCCCTCTCCCTTCCTCTCTCTGAAATCAATAAAGATATATTTAAAAAGAAAATTTACTTGGGTCTGGCCGGGTGTGGCTCAGTGGTTGAGTATTGACCTAGGATCCAGGAGATCGAAGTTTGATTCCCTGCCAGGGCACATTCCCCGGTTACGGGCTCGATCCCCAGTCGGGGGGCATGCAGGAGGCAGGCAATCAATAACACTCATCATTGATGTTTCTATCTCTCTCTCCCTCTCCCTCTCTCTGAAGTCAATAAAGATATAGTAAAAAAAATTTACTTGGTCTGGTGCTAGGTGCCTAACAAACATCAACTCATTTAACTTTCACAATCCCTTGAGATAAACAGTTTTGACTCGTTTTGAAAAAACACATTGGAAAAACATTTTCATATTCTCATAGCTAAAAGTTGGCAGAGCTAGAATTTAAGCCTTTATTAATTTTAGTCTAAATCTATGGTCTTGCTCATAATCCATTTTGATGAATAACTAGAATAGGTGGTGACTGGACATTGTCTACCCCACAGCATCCAGTGCTGTGAGCTGTACTTTCGTGCCCCCAAGTAACGTGTGTGGTGTGAATGCTGAATGACTGACCATGTGAACACTGTCTTTCCAGGTTTCTTGGAGTCTCTGTGGAGCCCCTGGACCAGACCCCATAGTAAAAGCTGCAGGATCTTTCTTCTGGTCCCAGCAGCTCTGGTTGAGTCCCCGGACCCTGCCTGGCCCTAGGCTCCTGGGAAGAACCGAATTGTCAGCAAGAGAACCTGAGGGCTGAGGCCCAGAGTAAACATGCCAGCCAACCAGAGCTCTTCCCAGTGGTCCCTGGACCTGACTGCAGGAGGAAGAGACAACGCCTGTGAGGTAAGGAAGAGGAAAATGTGCCCAGGGGCAGGAATTCATTCAGAATGAAAGAGAGCATCTCATTATTATTAATTAATGAATTAATTAGTTTTAAATTTTATTTTTTTTAAAGTATTACAGATGTCCCTTTTTCTCCACAATGACCTATCCGACCCCTTCCCTCCCCCCTCCACCATCCCTCTCCCCACCATTGTCCCTGCCCTTGGGTTGTGCATATATGCATATAAATTCTTTAGTTATTCTCTCCCTCTCGACCCATTCGCCCTCCTCCATCCCTCTGACATTTGTCAGTCTGATCTGTGCTTCCATGTCATTGAATCTATTCTGTTCATCTGTTTATTAAGTTCTTTAGATTCCACATATAAGCGAAATCATGTGATGTTTTTCTTTCGCTGCCTGGCTTATTTCACTTAGCATAATTTTCTCCACGTCCATCTATACTGTCCCAAAGGGTACGAGATTATTCTTCTTTACAGCTGCGTAGTATTCCATGGTATAAATGTCCCACAGCTTTTTTATCCACTCATCTACTGATGGGCACTTGGGCTGTTTCCAGATCTTAGCTATTGTAAACTGTGCTGCTATGAACATCGGGGTACATATATTCTATCTGATTAGTATTTCAGGATTCTTAGGATACATTGCTAGGAGTGTAATCACTGGGTCAAATGCAGCTCCATTTTTAATTTTTTGAGGAACCTCCATACTGTTTTCCATAGTGGTTGCACCAGTCTGCATTCCCACCAGCAGTGTACTAGGGTTCCCCTTTCTCCACACCCTCGCCAGCACATGTCGTTTGTTGATTTGTTGATGG